AGTACTTGTTTGATTGTTTTTATGCATAGATGGCAACACTTGTACTAACGTCCCAATGAGCCAGTTACAAGCACCGCCTGTCTCGCCCGTTTACCTGTTTCTTTGATTTACAAAATATTTTACGTAATCTTATTTTGCTGTTACTAATGTTAAAAAAGATTATAAAAATTATAATGTTTATGATAAAAATAACACCATCGATTTTCATAGCACTAGTGAAAAATACGTTTTTCCCGCCATTTAAATCAGGCGCTAGCAGAGCCATCTATCGGCAGACATTTCACAAAAAACAGAAAGTGGGCACAATATTTTCCCCATTTTTTGTTCATTTTCCCCGGCACCATTGGGTTAATAAAAAGACAGGAAAGAAAAATGCCCCGATATCTATGCTCTCGGCATAGAGATGCGGGCAGGGCCAAGAAAGTGTACAAATATTTAGCATGCACAATAGTGTTATTCTCAATGATGCATAAAGTAGAGATGCTATGCCAGCAAGGGTTAGTCTTCCATAACGTGATAGATGTTATCCTAGAATGAGTAGGTTAATACGAGTTTTATATAAAACTTTATTTTATACTATTTTTCATTATTTCTACACAGAATTTGATTTCAAAGTGGCTGTGACGTCATCATTGTTCACATGTATGCAGTTTAAAGGTAGAGTTAGTCTAGATAAGGACAGAAATCGAGCATGTAAGCAATGGGCTGCCTGTGTGACCAGTGAACTGGGAAAAAGCTAATAGTTAGCCTGGGATAACTGTGAAAGTTGGATATCACAAACTGGTTGTTGAAAACACGCTTGTGTGACCGCGGCTTAAAAGTCTGCATGTGTATTTCGATAGATAGACTGTGGTTGTCGTTGTACCCTCTGTTTTGAAGGTTACTTCCTGCTCCCCATAACTTCAATGTAGCCAACAGCAGCTCTCACATCGATGTGCAATGAGACAAAGAACGGCACTAAATCTAGTCGACTTGTTGTCTATGAGTGAAGCCAGTCTCCACACCTCGAAATACTTGGAACGCAAATGCAGAGGCGGAATAACATATGATTGTCTTATGTTCCGACGTTTAGACAAGTGCGGGTGTAAAAGTCATCCCGAATCTTGGTGGCCAAAAAACAGAATATGGAGTGAAGTTTATTGTTCTTTTGGGCGAATTTCCAAAGATAACATGGGCTATCTTAATTTTTTTTTCATTGGCTGCTGACAATTATCCCTTTGCGTCATCCAACTGCTGGTATTGACATTTGCCACTAATTGGGGTTAGGCATGATAAGACATGATTGTAACATCACTGATGACAAACAGGTATAATTATTTAGGGCTTAAAGACACAAATGCACATTGAAGGAATAAGGCAAACAAAAATGGTAACAATAGAGCGATAACAGCTTCATAGTCGCCCGGTACGATAATATGCGACATGCCTCAGGAACAGGGACTGGAGAAGGTGGAGGAGGATAATCATCCCTTAGCCATTCATATGATGAAACATCGAATTGGGGTTGGATGGTAATTGAAGCTCATTTCAGTTCTCCATGTTGAATATTTAATTTGTTGAACGCCGTATAATATAGCAAGAAATGAGACACAGCTGGAAGGAACACTGAAATGTGGTAGAAGTAGTAGCGGAAGTTAGGACAGTGGACACCGGAATGGCTGGGTGGACTCAGTCTCGGCGACATGAAGCCCGCCCAACATTAGGTCATCCTGATCTAACAAGCCACGGTATCCACACACCATAGAGGCATTGTCTTTCAGAAAACTTGGGTCTGCTGTAGTTTATATGACACAGTGTGCAAGATATATAGTTTATATAATCCTTCTTGTCTTCAGCTATACCATTTCACTATTTTATTCGCCAGCGTTCCTTTATCAACGTCAACAGATTGCAGGAGTGATGTGTCGGACGCACCACTCCAAGTGCTCTGGCCAAGAATTCCCTTGCAGTGACAGAAGAGGCTGTGTGGCGCGTTCCCTCGTGTGCGATGGCAGTGTTCAATGTTCAGACGGAAGGTAAATGGAAGCGACAATAATACAGAGGAGAAGAAAAAACAAGAAGTAAATACAAACTGTAAAATACCTTTTGGTTCAAAGATACAGCCTTTAAGAAGAAAAAAATCTACTGCCTTTCATTAGATTTGATTCATATTCATTGTCTTTTATTTAGTGACGAGAAGGAGGAGCTTTGTGAGGACGTAGGCGTGGTCAGGCTGAGGGAAAGCACCAGACGCTTAGAAGTACCCGGGATGGTAGCTGGCACGGTGGCGGTGAAGTGGCGGGGGTCCTGGTCCTCCCTGTGTGGCCAGATCAGTGCCAGCGATGCCAGGGTGAGTCATGGCTGCTGATGCTAAACGGGTCAGGAAATGATGATAAGAGGGATTATTCTAGGGAAATGATAATGATAGTGATAAAAAATATGACACTTATTATTGTTATCATTATCATTATCATCATATAATAATGATAATAATAATTATTATTATCATCATCATCATCAC